GGTAGGAAATCCAAATTTGAAAAACTATCTGTAACTACTCGTTTCTTTGTGATCAGATAATGAAAAAGTTCTTCACAAATGTAGTCAAAAAGTTCCTGATCGCAGCTGCGCTAAAGAGAGATCATGTCTATAAAAAAATTATTTAGCACTAGTTTTCAATTTTTTGTACTGCATTATCAAACACACTGAAAGTAAAAATAATTCCAAGAATCATACACATTGATAATCTTACCGGAATCAGTTCCATGCTGTACTTTTTGCAAATAAATTGTCCTTTTATAAAAGTTATCAAACATGCACTTTTAGAGTTCTGGAACAGGTCAGACCATTGGATTCAAGTTGGAAACCCAGAGATGATTCGGGAACATTCATGTCTTGATAGCTTTTCAAATATTGTTATCAGGATGCCCAAAACCCACTATAGTTCTCAACAAGTTCCTTAGTCTGTTCCACTAATTGTTAACACCAATTCTCTTCAAAACAAATCATTTTCGATTGCACAAATCAACACAAATCATACTTGCAATATATATCACAATGCTGAAACACGCAGAGATTGATTATGAGCTCATCAGAAGTGACTTTCGGAGTCGAACACAGATACCATTGCCAGTAAATCATTTTTCTGTCATAATCAGGCGAAAAACGCAACAGCACGTGATTGTCAATAAATCGAGAAATTCTTTTTGGCTGGAACGTGCTGATAGTACACGGCTACTGAACACTCAATTAGGTAAATCCACATTCTTCATTTCTTTCCAGTTCTGCCTGACGTCATTGAATGTCCAAGTCTTTGTTCTTTTCGAATCGCGCGTCGCCGCGCCGCGTTCTCGCGCCCCGTCGGGTGTGTCGCGATGTATCACATCTGTAGCAAAAATGTTCACACAGCGCTTTCTTTCAAAACGATCGAATCGCCGGATGGACACGACGATGGACGAACGAGAGAGAGAAGCACACAGATCGCCTGAAAAACGCTCTCAAATAATCGTTGCTGACACCGATCTGTCGTGTCGCCGTCCAGCCGATCGCGTTCGCCAGCGATGGCGATTCGACACTGATCGTGCTCGTGAGACTCGGCCGCGAACAATGAATTATCAGCGAGATACCTTAGTAACATTTCGGT